CTAATCAAAAAAATATCTGAAGATTCAAAAGAAAAAAGACTTGAAGAACTATCTAAATAAGTAGTACTCTAACTCACAAATCATAATTTAAAGATTCAGTAACTAGAAGACTAAGTTCAGAAATTAAAACAACTTAACTAACAACTTCTCTAATTACTTATTAATAATTCTCAATATACTAATAAATAAGCCTAACAACTAATTTTATTAGCTAATGAATTAAATTTTTAGAGAATCTTAAGCAGGATAAAAAACTATCTGATGAAATAGAATCTAAAAGTTTTTTATTTGAAGCAGAGATTTATACTATAGATAAAGAGTCACAACTAGAGATAGAACCTCTAACAATAGAATAAGAATAATTATTTAGATAATTATTATCAGAATTTGCAGATCTTTTTTTAAATAAAATAAATAGACTAGGTAGAACTGACTTAGTTACTCATTGAATATATATAGAAAATATACTTCTAATACAATCATAACTTTATTTAGTACCAACAAATAAATAAGAATTTATTTAACAAGAGCTACAAAAGATACTAGAAAACAAACAAATATGAACTTCAAAAAGCCTCTAGACCTCACTTGTAGTACTTATTAAAAGAAAAAATAGAAATTTATGATTTTGTATTAACTATCAGAAGCTTAATAGTATTACTAAAAAAGATATATATTTCTTACTAAGAATAGATAAAATATTAGATATCTTAGCTAGATCCAAATAGTTTTCAACCTTAGACCTTGCTAGTAGATACTAATAAGTACAAATATATCTAGATAATAGAGAAAAGACTACTTTTACAACTTAATATAGAATATATAAGTTTAATGTCATACCTTTTGAACTATACAATGCCTCTGCAATATTTCAAAGATTAATAGACTGAATTTATAAGAATATTGTATAAAAATTTGTTGTTGTCTATCTTGATAATACAATAATATATTCACAAATATTTAATAATCATTTGAAACATCTAAAAGAAATATTTTTACAAATTAGAAAAACTAAATTTAAAGAAATATTAATTTTAAATACAATAACTACCTTTTCTTAAACATATAATAACCTCTCAAAAAATAGAACCAGACTTAGAAAAAGTTGAAGCAATTAAGAAATTAGTACTTTTAAAGAATATATCTTAGCTATATTTATTTTTAGAACTCACTAAATATTATAAAAAGTTTATTTAAAACTTTTCTAAAATAGCTAAACACTAAACAAGCTATTAAAAAAGAAACAACAATATAACTAGAAAAAAAACCAAGATGAAGCTTTTAATACTCTTAAAAAAAGATTAATAACTGTACTTATATTAGTATACTCTAATTTTAAACAAATATTTATTGTAGCTACTAATACTTTATATAATAAATACGAAGCTATCTTAAGTTAAATAGGCTTTAACAACAAGAAATATCTAATTGCTTATACTAGGAGAAGTAAATTATAGAGCCACTAAACTAGAATATACTATAATAGTATAGGCTATAGAACATTTTGATAAATATTTAAGAACCTCTAAATTTATACTTATAATAAACTATATAGCTCTCAAATAGCTACAAATTATTGAACTAAAAGAAAAAATAAGAAGATAGATCTTAAAGCTACAACTTTATAATTTTGAGATTATTTATAAACCAGGCAGAATTCACTCAAATATAGATGCTTTTTTAAGATTAAAACAGAAAGAAATTATAATATATTCATGAATTTAGACCTGTATCGGAATTTATATAATTATCTGAAAACAGAACAATTATCAAATAATCTAAATAATAAAGAGTGGAAACAGATTATAAACCAAAGCTAATTTTTTAAAACAA